TGTCCTCGTAGCGGGTAAAATCCCTGATGTTTTTGATCCATTCATTGAAGTTGGATCCATCAAAAGTGACTTTCCCACACAAGTTCATAAGGGTAAAGGATCATTATTATTAGAGCCAAAGCAGCATTGTTTGAAGACATCTGAAAGAAGAGAACAGAGTAGTTTAGATATTAAGAGAGTCCTTATAACACCCCAAATGTAATATTAAGGCTAGAATCCAATCACAATATTTATAACTTAGAAGAGGTATGTCGTAATCCAAGCTATAACATATTTGAAAGGTAGGTGAATGACGATTCACCAATTTCCACCATGAAAAACGAAATATAAATATTAGGTTTTTAATTGGTTCTTAGAAATCCTAGATTCTTTTGAGATTCAATGAACTTTTCAAAGGCATGTTTCAATCTCGAGTGTGTGCCCTCCAAGTTTTGTGACTGGGATACCGAGGATCACAAACGAGGGTGTGAAGTACCATGCAAATCACTGGTACCCTCAAGTTTTATCACTCAATCGATGTGCCGGTAAACCACACGACCTCACCGATGCTATGGTAAACCTTAAGTCACCCTTTACCTACCTTGTTAAGTCCAAGTTAGTGTGCGGTTAACCACACCACGCTCCACCAACGACTTAAACAAAGTGTAAAGTGTAATTTCATGGATTAGCACCTTATTGACATTTTCCTAAAGTAACTAAGATTGGGAATTAATAAAAGCATTAGTTACTTTATAATATTCATCATCATACTTTTAATGAGAATTTATAAGTCCCTTGTCTTACCCGTTCGGCTAACGACCCTCCACCGATCAAGGAAGCGGTGGGTGAGAGTGGACACCCATTAAGTTGCCATTTTATAGGCAACCAACCTTATACCCCCTTATAGACCGCGCTTCGTGAATGAGGCGTACTAGCGGTAAGACGACTTGACGTTATACATATATATATAGTAACTTATAATATTATAAAGTATAAGGGTTGAATTTTAACTTTTAAAATTCTAAGGGTTGGAACTAAAGTTTTAATCAAGACTTTACATGTTCCAAAACTTGAGGGCAAGTTTTGTAAACTTCAAAAAAATTTCATTTCTTATAACTTATGAATTAATTGAGTAATAAAAATGAAGACTCTTCATTTTTATAACTCTTGTGTTCTTTTAATGGCTTTAATAAAAGTGAGACTTTTGGTTTTCCATAACTTGAGGACAAGTTATGGACTCCATTAAAACACATTATGATCATGAATTAAACTACCATGAAGGTTACAAACAATTCCTATGATCATCTAATCTTCATAAGTTCAAGAACATGAATATGAACACTTTCAAGAATCAAAAATTACACTTAAAAAAACTTGTAATTTTAATAATTGTCATTGTAATGGATTAGCATAAACATTACCCATCTAAAACAAGCTTTAAAAACATCAAAACAGTTTAGGGTAATGTTTCTAGTCCATTTCCAGCAACAATGTGCAAACTTTCATACGAGCAGAAACAGAAAAACGATTTTTTTTTCCAAGCTGTTTGCACACAAAAAAAACAAAAAACAACAAACAAACCTAGGCTCTGATACCACTGATGGGTTTTGAGCATTCTAACACTTCCTAAGTGTACATGCAACCCTAATAACCTTGGATCTTGTTTGTCTAATAATCATGAAAAGTTGAATTCCAAGGTTATATTCCTATCTAGCATACATGGGGAACATTTTTAACTTGAATGAAATATAGAATAATTTACCTTGTTGTTGATTATGATCCTTGAAACCTTGTGAGCCTACACCCCAAGTGTGATGCCTCAAATGCTTCACACAACACCAATGCAAAGGAGTAACGTTGAGAGAATCTTACACTTGCAAAATCGGCTCTAGCCCTCTTGTTTCTTATGTGTCGCCGATTTTGGTGGAGAATGGGTTTCTTATATAGTGTTGACACATCTAGGGTTACACCATGTAAACCCTAATGTGTCATGACTCTTCATTTCCATGACCCATGGGTTTGTAACTCCCATGGAGCATCCTATGGGTGGAACCCAACTTGATAATCCATGGAGCCTCTTAGCCCACTATATAAGATATGGAAGATTTACATAATCTACCGATATATTTAATTAGTTATCTTTTGATCACTTAATTAATTCTAAATTAATTCTTGATCAAACTAATTAAATAATATTATTAATATATTAGAACTTATAATATATTAATAAACCATAAGTGTTATTTCTCTCATTTTAGTTTATCCAATTGCATGGTGCCATGCAACCCAAATGGACCATGTCGGGTCGGGTCAAGTACATACCAGAAATCGTTATGGACTTAGACACCTTATCCAACATTATGAAGCGATTCGGAAGAAAGAGTGGGTAGAGGCGATGAACGCTGAGATAACTTCAATTGAGAAGAATAATACCTGGAGCCTAGTTGAACTCCCAAGAGGAAGGAAGGCAATTGGGTTAAAGTGGGTCTTTAAGGTGAAGCGTGACCCAAATGGAAAGATTGTGAAGCACAAAGCAAGAATCGTGGCAAAGGGTTACGTTTAGAAACATGGCATCGATTATAAAGAAGTTTTTGCGCCAGTAGCGAGAATTGAAACAGTTCGAGTTATATTGTCTCTTGCATGCTTGAATGGGTGGCGTGTGCATCACCTGGACGTGAAGTCAGCATTTTTGAATGGCTACTTAACCGAAGAGGTCTATGTCTCACAACATCAAGGTTTCGAGGAAAAAGGATGAACCAGGTAAGGTGTATAAACTCAGTAAAGCCCTGCATGGCATGAAACAAGCTCCCAGCGCTTGGAATTTGTGCTTAGACAAGTATTTGAAGAATTTGGGTTTCAAGAGATGTGCTCAGGAATATTCAGTGTATACAAGAACAAAAAATGGAGGCACTTTGATAATTGGAGTCTATGTGGATACTTGCTTGTGACTGGCAGCAATCCAGAAGATGTAAAGGAATTCAAGAAAGAGATGAAGGCTAGATTTGAGATGAGTGACCTTGGTTTACTAACATACTACCTGGGAATTGAAGTAAACCAACAAGACAAAGGTATCACACTAAAGCAGGAAGCTTATGCTAAGAACATTGTGGTCAAAACTCGTATGATTGACTGCAACCCCACCAAGAGCCCAATGGAGCATAAACTCACTTTGACCAAATGTGGAGATGATGAGTTGGTGAACCCGACTGAGTACAGAAGCATTGTTGGCTACCTAAGGTATCTCACTCATACTAGACCTGATATAACATTCACTGTTGGCGTTGTTAGTCGTTTTATGGAGAAACCCACCATAAAACATCTCCAGGCTGTAAAGGGGATCCTTCGATATATAAAAGGAACTTTGAATCATGGTCTAGTCTACATGAAAGGAGAAGAAAATGTCACCATCTCAGGTTACACTAATAGTGACTTAGCTAAGGATGTCAATGATAGGAGAAGCACGTGGGTAATGGCTTTTTATGTAAATGGAAACTTGGCCACATGGGGATCTCAAAAGCAAAGAGTAGTGGCACTTTCATCATGTGAGGCATAGTTCATTGCTGACACTATGGTAACTTGCCAAGGTATATGGCTAAGAAGACTTCTCACAGAAATCACAGGTCAAAGAGTACCACCTGTGACATTGTTTGTTGACAATGAATCAGCCTTTGACCTTATGAAGAACCCTGTATTCCATAGCAGAAGTAAGCACATAGATATCACGTTTCATTTTATCAGGGAATGTGTAGAAAATGGGGAGATTACTGTGGCCCATGTATGTGGGAAGAAACAAAAGGCAGACATATTGACTAAACCACTAGCAAGAATGAAACATGAAGAGATGAGAAGTTTGATTGGCATGAAGCATATTGGGAACACTGAATTAAAGGGGAAAATGTTAAAATAATTCAGTGTTTATTTTATTTTAGTATGCACGTTTCTTTATTTTAAGTAGAATAGTTCAATAATAAAGTCAGGGACACGTGGGTCATGGTTTGCTAGTCTTTGGCAAGTAGTTGATTAGGCTTGGGGGAGTGGCTGCGGTCTCTACCGCAGTCTCCTTCCACCTCAGCATGAACACCGCCCCTCCACTGTGGTTTGGGTGCGGTGGAGGCCGCACTGCGGTAGTCCCTGGCCGCACTCCCTTTTCTCTTTCTCCTAGTCTTTGGCAAGTAGAATAGTTCAATAATAAAGTCAGGGACACGTGGGTCATGGTTTCCTAGTCTTTGGCAAGTAGTTGATTAGGCTTGGGGGAGTGGCTGCGGTCTCTACCGCAGTCTCCTTCCACCTCAGCATGAACACCGCCCCTCCACTGTGGTTTGGGTGCGGTGGAGGCCGCACTGCGGTAGTCCCTGGCCGCACTCCCTTTTCTCTTTCTCCTCTGTTACTTGCTCTCTCTCTTTCTCTCTCTCTCTCTCTCTCTCTCTCTCTTCTCTCAACCAATCATCTTCTTTCTTTTCTTTTTTCTTTTCTCTCTCCTAACCTTTTTCGCACTCCCCCATTGCGGTTTTTAGTTGATGAAATAAGAAAAGATTTGAGTTGGCGTCTACGTGGCATAGGAGAAAGTGTGGTTTCGGTGACACCACTCCCTCCAGCCTTAGTTCCTTATTTTCTGCTTTTATTTTAGTTTAAATAGCCAGGGCAATGTGTATTGCCTGTTTTGTCCTACTTCATCTTTTATAAACTGTGAAGACTAGTGAAAGCTGTTTTCCAGTTTTACCCTTCCTGTCATTTGTCAAATTTTGTCGCCTGTGCAATTCACTGTTATTGTCCCCTGTTTCTTGCCTTGGTAAAAAGACTTTGTTGACCTTGCAAAGTACCAGCACTCCAAAGCTCTCTCGATCTGTCATGAACTTACCCTAGCACTCTTGTTTTTAATCCTATTACTTTCATTCATCAATTTCACTGGCTTGAATATCGTCGGTTATGCCGCCATTATTCTGGGAGTCATCTCTCTTTTTCCCTTCATTCTCATGTCGTTCATTGCAATCCCTCATATACAACCACACAAATGGCTAAGCATGGGCCAAACGGGTGTCAAGAAGGATTGGAACTTGTTATTAAATACGCTTTTCTTGAACTTAAACTTCTGGGATACGGTTAGTACAATGGCTGGAGAAGTTGAAAAACCTGAGAAGACTTTCCCGTTAGCACACTTATTTGCCATGATCTTGACTTGTTTGGGTTATCTCCTCCCTCTCGTAGCTGTTACAGGTTCTGTTATGGTAGATCAAAAACAGTGGGAATCTGGGTTTATGGCGGTGGCAGCAGAGATGATAGCGGGAAAATGGTTGAAGATTTGGATCGAGATAGGAGCGGTTTTATCGGCAATAGGTTTGTTCGAAGCGTTATTAAGCAGTTGTGCTTATCAGATTCTGGGTATGGCGGATTTAGGGTTTTTACCAAAGTTTTTTTTAACGTAGATCAAGATGGTTCGACACTACATGGATCATCAATGCCATTTCCCCTCTCGACAATGCTCTCAAGTTGCTTTAGATAAACCAAAAGAGTTCACAAAGTTTTTTTTTTTTTTTTTTTTTTTTTTTTGACATTTGTTTTAATGACACTTGCATGTTTTTTTTTTGTCAGTTTTGGTGTCACAAAAGAACACCTTGCTGTCAACAAACAAACAATTCAAAGTTTTTTTGTGACACTTTCACATTTGATTATATTACTCACTTGTGACAGTCATGTGTCACAAAAGAATAATAGAAAGGAACTTTGTGTCATACAAATTTTTTATTCATCATACACATCACACACATGCACGAATTTTTTTTTCATTTTCTTTAAAAAAAAAATTAAAAAATTTTCTTTTATTTTTAATTTTTTTTATTACTATTTTTTTTATCTTTTTTTTATTTTTTATATATAGCTATCTCTTGGATAAAGTTTCAACAAACACTATCCTAGTTTAAATATAACATCTTTGTGAGGTTCTAAGTGTTTATCTTATATTCAAGAGATATCCATAAAAAAAATTTTAGACCAATTTTGAAAATATCATTTGTGATAAAAAAAAATTTTGATATGCTACAGTCTTTTATGGCCAAGACTTAGCACCTTTGCTTTATCATAACACATGTTGATATGATTTAGCAAAATATCAATGTGTTTATTTTATTTATTTTTATTTATTTTTTTTTTCATTTTGTCGAAAAAGATCAAGTTTTTCATTCTTATTCAACACTTGATGTTTTTCTTCAAACTTTTGGCCTAAATAAAACACAACATGAGTTTGCAATTTATTCTATATGTCACTTTACTTTCCTATCTTGACGAAACAAATTTTTGTCTAGATCATGAAATTCGAACATATTTTTTTTTATTTTATTCAATTTAAAAAATTCAATTGTCATGTTGACAGTTAAATTTTTCTTTAACCAAAATTTTCAAGTTCGAGGAACACGTACTCTGGAATAATTTCTAAAGTTTTTTTTGTGTATCTGCTTCAACAGATAATTTCATTGAAGCTGAGGGGGAAAATGTTAAATCAATATTTCTTGTGCACACTTTTTACAACTCCTTATTTCAGTAGTCATCACATACGGGGAAATTGTTCGAAATATTTTGATGTGATTGTCACTTGAAATAAGTTGAGTATTGATTTACATTTTCTAACAAACATTATCAGAATGTTTCAGGTTGGAAAGATCCTGAAGATTCAACAAATGTTTGAAGAATCAGATGTTGGAGCACTTGAAGCTTACTTAGAGCACCTGTTGTTGACATGGAGCACTTGCTGAAAACGTTTTTATCATAAAATAAATAAATAAATAAGTGAAAAATTTGTGAAAAATTCAGTAAACCTAGACTAGAATAGTCCAAGTGTTGAAAATAATAAAACAGAGTTTCAAAATTGTCAAGTGGCAAGCAGTGCGGAAAATAAAGAGTTGTGAATCACCAAGTTAATGATAAAAACGTTTTTTAATGTTCACGATCAATAATTCAAATGTTTCTCATATTCATGAAGATTCGATTACAAGTGTTTGAATGTAAAACACACTAAAACTCTCAAATGGCTCTTTGAAGACTAGTCTAAGCAGCAATTGTGCAGAATGAGCAGGAATGATCAGAAAAGAGCAACTTTATAATGGATCCCAAGGGGCCTATTTATAGGCTTTGGAAAAGCCCATGACATGGCTTGACCAATCAGGTGCTGACACGTCATCATGACTTAGTCATCAATTGACACCTTTGCCCTACTTAATGGAGAATGGATGGAATATTCCAATTTCGTTAGTATTCTGTCAGGGTTCCTTCCAAGTTACGAGTCTTCATAATTCTTGAACCTTCTTGATCAACATTGAAAATGTGATGAGCAACATGAGCATCATGTTGCTCAATTGTCTTCTTAGATGTCATCAACTTCCAGAAGTGTTGTTGACCAAGTTGAGTTGTTTCTTGAGTGTTGGACTGTGTATTGAACTTGAGGATGTACCACCACATGTTCATGATGGACCATGGACGAATTTCATGTTCCTTTGAGCATTTGGACGTGCCTTCATTGTACATGATAAGTCATGTGTAGTCTTGTTGAGCCATCAATGTGATCATGTTGATCCATTGACTTGAGTTGAGCCACCAAGTATTCCTGTTGAGCCATCAACTCTTGTTGAGCCATAGAGTTGTGGATGAGCCAACAATGTTTCTGATAAGCCATCAATATTCCAGATGATCCATCAGCATCTTGATGCTCTACATATGATCCAACTAGCTTTCAGCAAGTGCTCCATGTCAACAGCAGGTGCTCTAAGTAAGCTTCAAGTGCTCCAACATCTGATTCTTCAAACACTTGTTGAATCTTCAGGATCTTTCCAACCTGAAACATTCTGATAATGTTTTTGTTAGAAAATGTAAATCAATACTCAACTTATTTCAAGTGACAATCACATCAAAATATTTCCAACAATTTCCCCCTATGTTATGGTTACTGAAATACGGAGTTGTAAAAAGTGTGCAAAAGAAAATATTGATTTAACAGTTATCAGTGGAAGGGACATTCACTACTTTCACAAAGGAGCGAAACTTGAAGGCTATCAGAGTTATTGGCTGATCCAGCTTCGAATCTTGTGTATTTTGAAGCTTCAATGACACAACTGGTTCTAACCAATATTGACTCACCATATCCACAGCTTCGCTCTGAATTCGCTTCAGAACCCACTCTGGAAATAACAACTTTCGGCTTTCCAGATTAACCTGAGCTTCAAGTTTTGCTTGCTCTTTCGCTTCAGCCTCTCGGATTATTCTTTGATGTTCATCCATTTCAGCCTCTCGTGCCTTTCTTCTTTTGAGCTCGTTTTCATCAGGCTCTTCATCTTTGCTGTTGTCAACAATGGGTTCTTCACTGAAAAGTTTTTCTTTGCCTTAAGGCTTAGATTTTCTTTTGACAGTTTGTTTGACTGAAGGTTTGGGTTCTTCCTTCTTGGATTGTGACATACCTTCTCCCCCTTGTTTCGGAATTGAGCTAGATTCCGGAACACCTTCCAGTTGATGAAGCATGGCAAATATGGGCCTTAGTTTCTCAGTGAGATGCTGCTTCTTTACCGTAATCTTAATCATTGAGTCACGAGTCTCAATGATATCTGAAAGCATGCCAGTAACGTCTGCGATGTAGCTTTTCATAGCAGCTTTTTCAGATAACAAATCATTAACTTGTTTCTCAGCATTTTCAAGTTTGACTGTCAAGACTTTCACTTTTTCAGTCTTGAGGGCAAGAACATCCATTATTTTGCTCTCCATAGCCAGATCATCTTGAAGCTTAGAGATTTGCGAGGAGATGGATGACTGGAACTTGCCATGGTCAGATTTAAGACCAATGCGAACCTATTGAAGTTTTGCCTTCTCAGTTTTAAGTGTTGAGCCTAGGCTAGAAATGAATTCATTAGCCTTCGCAGTATTGGACTCAAAGGAGCTTTGGAACTTCTCCATGAATCCCTGAGCATCTGTTATTAGTGTAACATACACGTTTTGAAATCGTGTTATGTAAATTAAAAAGTTAATAATATTATGAAATATTATGAGAAATTGAGTGTTAAGTTCTAACAGATAGTTTTTACTAGAAATAAAGTAAAACTATGTTTAGAATCACTCATAAATTATTGGAAGTCTTATGAGATTTCAATTAAAAGCCAAATAGTGAAATTTAGCGAAAATATAAACTTTGAAATAAGTAAAATTTTATTATTGAAAGTTGTAGATAATCTCGTTAGAAACACGTAGGCGAAAACCTCGTCGAAATCTGAGTTATAACGAAGAAGTTATGACCAATCGAAGATCTGCGATAAAACCGGCACGGTGCCGAATGACGTAAAAAGTGAGTTTTTGATAAACTACTTTTTAGCCTTAGTGATCTAAATGAAAGTCGTAGTATTCGGTAAACCGAGAAGTTCGATAAAAAGAACGCCAAAATCTGACTTCGTATGAGGAAGTTATGATTTTTACAAGTTTCAGCGTAGTAGTAGACAGCTAAAAACTCGAATTTTAGATCAAGTGATTTTTAGCCGACACAACCTAAACGAGAATCGAAGGTCTCGTCATTAGCAGTACAATGGTAAAAAGTCAGACGAAAATGGACGTCGGATGAAGAAGTTATGAATTTTTAACGGATTTACCAGTCCCGGTCTGTTAAAAATAATAATATAAAAATAAATTCAAAATTTTCCGACGAAGTCTAAACGAAAGTTGTAGAGCATAATTTTCTCTAAGCGTGCATATAAAGAACGTCAAAAACGGAGCCCGTATGAGAAAGTTATGGATTTTACAAGATTGGGCACATTTTCATTTAATTTTTTCATGAATAGTGTTGATCCACGTGGCAATTTCTGATTGGACCGCAGCCTCGCTGGCACCTTCTGATTGGTCTGATGCCGTGTCCGCCTCGTTTCCGACGTCGTGACTCACCCTCGCCCGGATCCGACGCGTGTCGCGATGAGTCGTCCGAAGCTGCTTAGTCACCCGGTGACTCCTCGCATCCGAAGACACTTGTTGCGTCCGAAGCGACCCACATGGAGCCCTCGCATGCGCGCCATCTGGTCCTCTCGCGAGCCGCCAGCTGCCCCTCCTCCCTTCGGCCGAAGACCTTCGCCTCCTATAAATAGGAGGGTGCGAACCCTCTCGGCTAACTTTGGAAATTTCACACTTTTTCACCATTTTTCAATACTTTTACTATCCTGACATCCCCCGAAGCCCCGATACTTATTCCAAAGCCCGAAACGTGCCCCGAGATTCCCGAGAAGCCCGAAAAATTTATCTTTTCGGTTTCGAAGCTCTACCTTCACAGGGCCCGGTTTTCAAGAAAACTCCCGGTTTTCAACAACGAAAGTCATATTTAGAGCCGAAATGCTGCCCAAATTATTATTTTGACCCCCGGTTAATTCAGGGTGCGTTTAATATGTAGAAACAATTGTATGTTATGTGTTAT